TCCCTCTCTTCTAGAGGTTTCTCCTCACGGAGTATCACACCAGCCAACAAACTTTCATCAAATACACCTTCATTAATAAAATGAACAACAATTTTATCTCTCAACACCTCTGATTTCTGCGTAACAGAATAATCCAATTTCAATTCCTTAACAACACTAATCAAAACTTTCCTACTCAACTTCTCTACCTCCTCAACAGTGGGATTAGACAAAAAAGATTCCATTTCACTAACTTCAAAATCAAAACAAGCCTAGATTCTCTAAATTAACACGGCCCAACGCTGCGTTATGAACTTGACCTCCTATCTAGGACGTGGCACGTCTGGCTTTTGACCTAGATAATTCTAGCCTTGCGCGCGTTTTAATAACACGGCTCCACTGGATAGAAAAACAACTAAATCAAACTAAACTTAGTGTTTAACTGATACAACCAACAACTGGAACGACAGATTAAATCCCGGACGAGCCCCCACTTTGTAACGGACACCTATCTACCAGCCAGATAGATGGTGAACGCCCCCGGATTCTTTCTTGGGGTTATATGCAAATGACTTAAAGCCTAAATGAATGAACACTAACTCAACAACACACTAGGGCTCGATTTCGATGTCTAGGGAAAACTAGTGATACTATTGAGGTTAACAACTCATCCAATCTGCATACAACCTTTAATAAGCGAACACAGTTGTGGCAGAACACAAGGTTAAACAAGATAAAATATTTAGTTTAGAAAATAACAAAACCCAACTTACAAAGCGTAAGAAAAAATACTATCACAGATTCTAACACTGTATAAAAATAGCCACAGGTCACATAACACTGCTATAGCATCAAGAATTACTTGGCCACAAGTAATATAATACTAGAATACTTAAACAACTTAAGAATGCATAGCACACTCAGGACTTAAGCTCTCTCACGTTCAAATGGTCAGAATGGATTGCCGGACAAGATGGACGGCCTGGTCAAGATGGACGGCCTCGTGCTGCCTGTGGGCGATCTAGTTATAGACTTAGGCAACAGGGGAGGTTATCCTCAACTCATGTGGCCATTGGTTGGGGTGGTCATCTGATCTGAATCAATCAATCAGATCTTGATGGAAAATTTCTTCGTCTTAGACACTCTTAGTAAGACAGTGGAAAAAACCCGTTTGTTGCACCATCAACCATATATGGTATTATAACAACGTCAAAATAAAACATTACCAGACCTAAGTAGGTCACAGTAGTGTGTGGTCAGTAGACAGCTGGTAGTGTGTGGTCAGTAGACAGTTGGTAGTGTGTGGACAGTAGACAGCTGGTAGTAGTCAGTAGACAGCTGGTAGTGTGTGGCCAGTAGACAGCTGGTAGTGGTCAGTAGACAGCTGGTAGTGTGTGGTCAGTAGACAGCTGGTAGTGGTCAGTAGACAGCTGGTAGTGTGTGGTCAGTAGACAGCTGGTAGTGTGTGGTCAGTAGACAGCTGGTAGTGTGTGGTCAGTAGACAGCTGGTAGTGTGTGGTTAGTAGACAGTCAGTAGACATCTGGTAGTGGTCAGTAGACAGCTGGTAGTTTTCATAATTTAAAGGTTATGTCATATTGTATACGTTACTAGAAACAAATTATTTTGAAATACATTCAAATAACTTTAATGATATTATTGACATCGATGACGTCATTTTCAGAGACCAGTTACGCAGGTGATGAAGGAAGTGACGTCAGAACCAATTAAATCAAGCCCGAAGTTTGAGTACCCGCTCATCTTCGTGCAAGAAAAGTAAGTTAGGCCATAAGGCCATCCATTAGGCCATCCATTAGGCCAACCATTAGGCCATACATAAGGCCATCCATTAGGCCATCCTTTAGGCCATCCATTAGGCCATCCATTAGGCCATCCATTAGGCCATCTATTAGGCCATCCATTAGGCCATCCATTAGGCCATCCATTAGGCCATCCATTAGGCCATCCATTAGTCCATCCATTAGGCCATCCATTAGGCCATCCATTAGGCCATCCATTAGGCCATCCATTAGTCCATCCATTAGGCCATCCATTAGGCCATCCATTAGGCCATCCATTAGGCCATCCATTAGGCCATCCATTAGGCCATCCATTAGTCCATCCAACGATGTCATTCTTATGTTATGTCATCTGGTGACAACCCGTTTAGCCATGCTATTGACGTGTTACTATGACAACCCGTTAAACCCTGTCGACGCCTCTGACAACCCGTTAAACCCTATCGTCGCCTCTGACAAACCCGGTCGTCCCCCTACAGGTGGCAACCCTTCAGAAGATCTGCCAACCAGCGAGGCCAAGCAGACGACAGCAAGAAATTTTTCTCAGCCCTCATGAAACCTCGGGTAATTAGTCTTATCACCACCGGTAATTAGTCGAGTTAATTAGTCGTTGAGTTAATTAGAGGCTGACTTATAACCTCGGGTAATTAGTCGTTGAGTTAATTAGAGGCTAGACTTATAACCTCGGGTAATTAGTCCTTGAGTTAATTAGAGGCTGATTTAGAGGGTAATTAGTCGAGTTAATTAGAGATTTTATAACCTCGGGTAATTAGTCGTCGAGTTAATTAGATGCTAGACTGACCACGCCCACCTGTCCCCAGGCTTACAACATTAGTTGAGTTAATTAGATGCTAGACTGACCTCGCCCACCTGTCCCCAGGCTTACAACATTAGTTGAGTTAATTAGATGCTAGACTGACCACGCCCACCTGTCCCCAGGCTTACAACATTAGTTGAGTTAATTAGATGCTAGACTGACCACGCCCACCTGTCCCCAGGCTTACAACATTAGTTGAGTTAATTAGATGCTAGACTGACCTCGCCCACCTGTCCCCAGCCTTACAACATTAGTTGAGTTAATTAGATGCTAGACTGACCTCGCCCACCTGTCCCCAGGCTTACAACATTAGTTGAGTTAATTAGATGCTAGACTGACCACGCCCACCTGTCCCCAGGCTTACAACATTAGTTGAGTTAATTAGATGCTAGACTGACCACGCCCACCTGTCCCCAGGCTTACAACATTAGTTGAGTTAATTAGATGCTAGACTGACCACGCCCACCTGTCCCCAGGCTTACAACATTAGTTGAGTTAATTAGATGCTAGACTGACCACGCCCACCTGTCCCCAGGCTTACAACATTAGTTGAGTTAATTAGATGCTAGACTGACCTCGCCCACCTGTCCCCAGGCTTACAACATTAGTTGAGTTAATTAGATGCTAGACTGACCTCGCCCACCTGTCCCCAGGCTTACAACATTAGTTGAGTTAATAAGATGCTAGACTGACCTCGCCCACCTGTCCCCAGGCTTACAACATTAGTTGAGTTAATTAGATGCTAGACTGACCACGCCCACCTGTCCCCAGGCTTACAACATTAGTTGAGTTAATTAGATGCTAGACTGACCACGCCCACCTGTCCCCAGGCTTACAACATTAGTTGAGTTAATAAGATGCTAGACTGACCTCGCCTACCTGTCCCCAGGCTTACAATATTAGTTGAGTTAATTAGATGCTAGACTGACCACGCCCACCTGTCCCCAGGCTTACAACACTCACCTGGACAGCTCCAGATCTGCTGACATGTCCTCTGGTGCCGTCTTCAGGGCTCTGCCTGTCTACAGGGTAAATTGGTTAGGTTTTAGGTTAAGTTAGGGCATAGAGTTTAGGTTAGGTTTTAGGTTAAGTTAGGGCGGAGAGTTCTGGTGCCGTCTTCAGGGCTCTGCCTGTCTACAGGGTAAATTGGTTAGGTTTTAGGTTAAGTTAGGACAAGTTTAGGACATAGAGTTTAGATTAAGGTAAGGCATAGAGTTCAGGTTGAATTAGAACATAGAGTTTAGGTTCAGTTTTAGGTTAAGTTAGGGCATAGAGTTCAGCTTAAATTAGAACATAGAGTTTAGGATTAGTTTTAGGTTAAGTTATAGTATAGAGTTTAGGTTAAGTTAGGGCATAGAGTTTAGGTTAAATTAGGGCATAGAGTTTAGGTTAAATTAGAACATAGAGTTTAGGTTCAGTTTTAGGTTAAGTTCGGGCATAGAGTTTAGGTAAAGTTAGGGCATAGAGTTTAGTTTAATTTAGAACATAGAGTTTAGGTTCAGTTTTAGGTTAAGTTAGGACATAGAGTTTAGGTTAAGTTTAGGACATAGAGTTTTGGTTAAGTTAGGATATAGTTTAGGTTAAGTTAGGGTATAGAGTTTAGGTTAAGTTAGGATATAGTTTAGGTTAAGTTAGGGTATAGAGTTTAGGTTAAGTTAGGGTATAGAGTTTAGGTTAAGAAAGGATATAGCTTAGGTTATGTTGGGATATAGTTTAGGTTTTAAGATCTTGACGAGAGGTAGTTTAAAAAACCTGACCAGAGGTAGACTAGTTTTAAGATCTTGACCAGAGGTAGTTTTAAGATCTTGACCAAAGGTAGACTAGTTTTAAGATCTTGACCAGAGGTAGTTTTAAGATCTTGACCAGAGGTAGTTTTAAGATCTTGACCGGAGGTAGACTAGTTTAAGATCTTGACCAGAGGTAGTTTTAAGATCTTGACCAAAGGTTGACTAGTTTTAAGATCTTGACCAGAGGTAGACTAGTTTTAAGATCTTGACCAAAGGTTGACTAGTTTTAAGATCTTGACCAGAAACTTGTGACCTTTATTTTTCCCCAGGTCGTGACACCAAAAAAGCTACTTCCCCTATCACGTGGTCACATGAAAAAATCTTTTGTGGGAACCAGCATGGTGAAGGCTGTTGGTTCAACTCGTTGTAGTCTGTGACGTCATAGCTCACTCGTTGTAGTCTGTGACGTCATAGCTCACTCGTTGTAGTCTGTGACGTCATAGCTCACTCGTTGTAGTCTGTGACGTCATAGCTCACTCGTTGTAGTCTGTGACGTCATAGCTCACTCGTTGTAGTCTGTGACGTCATAGCTCACTCGTTGTAGTCTGTGACGTCATAGCTCACTTGTTCATTTACTGTGACGTCATAGCTCATATGTTCATTCATTGTGACGTGATAGCTCACATGTTCATTAACTGCAACTCATGGCTCACTTGTTCATTTACTGTGACGTCATAGCTCACATGTTCACTTACTGTGACGTCATAGCTCACATGTTCACTTACTGTGACGTCATAGCTCACATGTTCATTTACTGTGACGTCATAGCTCACATGTTCATTTACTGTGACGTCATAGCTCACATGTTCATTTACTGTGACATCATAGCTCACATGTTCATTTACTGTGACGTCATAGCTCACATGGTCATTTACTGTGACGTCATAGCTCACATGTTCACTTACTGTGACGTCATAGCTCACATGTTCATTTACTGTGACGTCATAGCTCACATGTTCATTTACTGTGACGTCATAGCTCACATGGTCATTTACTGTGACGTCATAGCTCAAATGGTCATTTACTGTGACGTCATAGCTCACATGTTCATTTACTGTGACGTCATAGCTCACATGTTCATTTACTGTGACGTCATAGCTCACATGTTCATTTACTGTGACGTCATAGCTCACATGTTCATTTACTGTGACATCATAGCTCACATGTTCACTTACTGTGACGTCATAGCTCACATGTTCATTTACTGTGACGTCATAGCTCACATGTTCATTTACTGTGACGTCATAGCTCACATGGTCATTTACTGTGACGTCATGCCTCACATGTTCATTTACTGTGACGTCGTAGCTCACATGTTCATTTACTGTGACGTCAGTCATAGCTCACATGTTCATTTACTGTGACGTCATAGCTCACATGTTCATTTACTGTGACGTCATAGCTCACATGCTCATTTACTGTGACGTCATAGCTCACACGTTCATTTTCTGCTCCGTCATAGTTCACACGATAATTCATACTCAAATCTCACATATTCATTCGTCGTTACGTCATAGCTCACATATTCATTTGTTGTTACGTCATAGCTCATATATTCATTCGTTGTTACGTCATATTCACTCGCTGATACGTCATGGCTCACATATTCATTTGCTGTTACGTCATAGCTCACATATTCACTTGTTGTTACGTCATAGCTCATATATTCATTCGTTGTTACGTCATATTCACTCGCTGATACGTCATGGCTCACATATTCATTTGTTGTTACGTCATAACTCACATATTCATTTATTGTTACGTCATATCCACTCGCTGATACGTCATAGATCACATATTCATTTGTTGTTACGTCATAGCTCACAAATTCATTCGTTGTTACGCCATATTCACTCGCTGATACGTCATGAAAGGAAAACAATGAAAATAAAAATCCAGATTACTAAAAAATATCTAAACAATTGTGCAAGACTGATCAAAATATTAGGCTAAAATAATATGTTATCACCCTGAAATGAGAGGCTACAATTTCAAAAACTTTTTTTATTTCTACAGCCATGAAATATGCCTCCCCATGTTTTGGGATCCTCACAGTTCCAACCACCTTTCTACCACCCCCCCCCCCCCCACCCATCCAACCTAAAGAACTATTCCCACTTCACCCCACACACCAGATGTTAACATTATCCATAATTAGACCTAGCCATGAAAATCCCCACCCCTCCCCTCCCTACACGCACAAGGCACCAACCAAACCCAGAGACGCGATCAATGTATGACGTCAGTCTACTCATGACAGCAATAAAAAAATCCAACTCTAGCCTGTCTTCTCTTCCCTCGTGTTGAATTGTATGTGGTGGGGACACAACATATATCTCTAGTCCATGGACCAAACATACATCTAACTTGTCTCTAGTCCATGGACCAAACATACATCTAACATGTCGACACAAGTCACTAGTCAATGGACCAAACATACATCTAACATGTCGACACAAGTCTCTAGTCCATGGACCAAAATACATCTAACATGTCCCTAGTCCATGAACCTAACATACATCTAACATGTCGACACAAGTCTCTAGTCTATGAACCAAACATACATCTAACATGTCTCTAGTCCATGGACCAAACATACATCTAACATGTCCCTAGTCCATGAACCAAACATACATCTAACATGTCGACACAAGTCTCTAGTCCATGAACCAAACATACATCTAACATGTCCCTAGTCCATGAACCAAACATACATCTAACATGTCGACACAAGTCTCTAGTCCATGAACCAAACATACATCTAACATGTCTCTAGTCCATGGACCAAACATACATCTAACATGTCGACACAAGTCTCTAGTCTATGAACCAAACATACATCTAACATGTCGACACAAGTCTCTAGTCTATGAACCAAACATACATCTAACATGTCTCTAGTCCATGGACCAAACATACATCTAACATGTCCCTAGTCCATGAACCAAACATACATCTAACATGTCGACACAAGTCTCTAGTCCATGAACCAAACATACATCTAACATGTCCCTAGTCCATGAACCAAACATACATCTAACATGTCGACACAAGTCTCTAGTCCATGGACCAAACATACATCTAACATGTCGACACATGTCTCTAGTCCATGAACCAAACATACATCTAACATGTCGACACAACTAATTGTTTAACAACCACAAGTATTGCTGGTGTGCCTGACAGCACATATCAATACAGTTTACATGGGGGTGAAGTCAGAAGCACCAAACCACTGCTATTGACTGGTAAACTTTAAGCTACATTCACATTGTTTTCTTGCAAGCTAAACGGAACCTGAAGTTTAACTCTAGTAAAACATACATTGATTGGCTGTTCAGGAGGAACTCAGCCATCGATCTTCGGATAACCCCACTGTGTAGTGATTTGTGCTCAAACATTGCCGATAAAGGTTTTAATAAAATTCTTTTTTTTATACCACGTTGTTCGATTCCTAGCTTGATCAGACTCTCTAAACTTCAATACTTTATTCTTACAATACAGCTGCGACAACACTTTTTCTCTTAGACTTCATTCTTGGTCAACTCACTGGCTTAACACCGCAAACTACCAGTGTTTTTTCCAGACTTTTTTCTCCGGGGGGTGAGGGGGGGGGGGGGGGCACTGATTTTTTTAGGGGGGGGGGGGAACGACGACAACGACGACACACACTGGTAAAAGTATATATTTTCTGTTATTTAAATTCCATTTCGTTCGGGGGGGGGGGGGGGTAGGGGGGATAGACTTTCTTCGAAAATTTGCCTGGAAGAAACTCTGCACACTACACGTCAACACAGCACACAGAGCCGTAACAAGGGAAATAACAATGATATATATATATATATATAGTACAAGGGACATAACAATAACTAACAAGACAAAACGAAACTCGCATATTCAGTGGAAAAAAAACATATGGCTCTAATAAAGCATTTCGGTTAATGAAAATAATAAAAACATCAGAAATATACAATATTTTCAGACAAACATGCTAAAAACATAAAAAAGTATACAATATTTAGCAAACTAAAATAAAAAATATAATAAATATAATATTTAATACTACGAAGATACTTTATTTGATGTATATATTTAATATTCAGCCAAGTACGACAAAAACCACACAATCAAGTTATTACATTCAGATTTTTTAAAAACACTGCACACGATTTTAAAACACATTATTATTTCATTTGAGACTAATCCCTCTGAGCACATTTGTAATGGGATTGATATCAGTATTGTACGTCATCAGGCAATAAATCCTAGTGCTGTTGGTCTAAACGTTGTGTACAAAATGTTTTCTGTACGTCATCAGGCAATAAATTCTAGTGCTGTTGGTCTAAACGTTGTGTACAAAATGTTTTCTGTACGTCATCAGGCAATAAACCCTGGTGCTGTTGGTCTAAACGTCGTGTACAAAATGTTTTCTGTACGTCATCAGGCAATAAATCCTAGTGCTGTTGGTCTAAACGTTGTGTACAAAATGTTTTCTGTACGTCATCAGGCAATAAATCCTAGTGCTGTTGGTCTAAACTTTGTGTACAAAATGTTTTCTGTACGTCATCGGGCAATAAATCCTAGTGCTGTTGGTCTAAACGTTGTGTACAAAATGTTTTCTGTTTTCCAACAAAAAGTTTAGAAAGATGTGAGCCTTGACGTCATTGAGACCTTTTCCAAAGTGGGTACCATCGTAACTCATCACTCCATCAGTCAAGTGCAAGAAGTCAAGCACGGGAATTCCCTGTTTTCTCATGACTTGGTGCATGACTTGGTTGTAGACTTCCATTTTAGCAGCTTGCTGGTGTACGTAACGTCCACTTTTGAGCGGGCCTGGTACGTGGGGGGTTACCCAGATGACCTTCGGCCAAGGTGACTTTGACATGAGCTCAAACATTGGTTTTAGAACCTAGAGAAACAAACACGACAGGGGGTGAGGATAGAAGAAAAATAAAATGGTGGGTTCACCCAGGCTTGAAAAGTGGATCAAAATTTGTCATTGCCAAAAAGATTATTTTTCAACCAGCATTGAATATTTTATATAATTGTGAAGGTTGAACACAATGACTTCCGGTTTTATTACTGCTAGAAATATTCAAACAAGTAATTATCAGTAATAAAACATCGAAGCATAATAGTCTTAAAATACTTTTAAACTTTACAATAAAAAGATGCATTTTTCACATTTTTGGACCACTTTTCAAGCCAAAATAAAAAAAATTAAAAAATGGTAAAACCAAATTCAAGGCTCTAAGGACATATATAATTGTTGGACGGTATTAAAGGACATTGAACAAGGAAACTGGGACATTATATATAAATAGAAGGACAATAAAAAATATACAGGGATTATATGAGAATATAGACAGCAAAAAACAATCTACTGACGGGAAAAGCTACATCAGATTTAGTCACCAAAACATCAACAAACTCTCAGCTGTCTACAACATCCACCACTAAACCAACTATAGCTGTCTACAACATCCACCACTAAACCAACTATAGCTGTCTACAACATCCACCACTAAACCAACTATAGCTGTCTACAACATCCACCACTAAACCAACTATAGCTGTCTACAACATCCACCACTAAACCAACTATAGCTGTCTACAACATCCACCACTAAACCAGCTATAGCTGTCTACAACATCCACCACTAAACCAACTATAGCTGTCTACAACATCCACCACTAAACTAGCTATAGATGTCTACAACATCCACCACTAAACCAACTATAGCTGTCTACAACATCCACCACTAAACCAACTATATACCTGTGATTCCACCACATTGTGGTCCAGCCCATCATGTAACCCAATACCGAAGACGAAGAGAGAATTGTTTTTTCCAGTCAGCTGACCCATGACTTCTAGGATGTTCTTGCTCTGACTTGCCCTCCATAACGACTGGCTCATCAGATGCACCTGTTTTATGGTAGATCACAGGAGTTTAGCGAGCCCGAGTTTATTCAGAAAACCAACACTCGTTAAACCAATGGATAAATCCCCCCCTACCCCGACTACCTACCATTCCCCGCACTCCCTAGGTCCGACTACCTACCTCCAATCCAGACTAAATACCTCTCTCCCCCACTCCCCCACAAATCGAACTCTCCCCCCACATTCCCCCACACCGAGTACCTATTTTCTCCCCCACACTCCCCACACACCGAATACCTACCTCTCCCCCACACTCCCCCACACCGAATACCTACCTCTCCCCCCACATTCCCCCATACCGACTACCTAATTCTCCCACACATTCCCCGAACAACGACTACCTACCTCTCTCCCCACACTATCTACCTCTCCCCCACACTCCCCCACACCAACTACCTACCTCTCCCCCACCCATTACCTACCTCTACCCCACACTCACCCACACCGATTACCTACCTCTCCCCCACAACCCCCACACCGACTACCTACCTCTCCCCCACACACCCCACACCGACTACCTACCTCTCCCTCACATTCCCTTGAATCACGCAAGATGTGAGGCGTACAGTCTGTGAAATAGCGGTTGTAGTGGTCACAAATATTGCGATTGGCTGAAATGTAGAACACGTGACGCTGGTACTGCTAGCACAGTTATAGAACCACAATCATTGAATCCATACAGTAGAGCTAAACATATAACCGTCATTCATGCACATTTGTTGTTGAGTCCAGATAATATCGTTTTCAATCTTATCATTTTGTAATTAGTAATAACGATATATATATATATATATATATATATATATATATATATATATATATATATATATATATATATATATATATATATATATATATATAAGTAGTATATTAGGTCCCTTTTGGTTAGTATGGGGGAGCAGGAGCAGGAGGGTGAGGGTGAGGGTGAACAATGGCTATATGGGAAAATACTCCCCGCCTGGGGGATGCGGCGGGACAATGACATATAGCAAAATACTCCCACCACCAGGCAGGGGCGGATTAAGCTTGGGCGGGGCCCCAGGCTTAAAATTTTTGGGGGCCCCTTATAAATATAAATATATATATATATATATATATATATATATATATATATATATATATATATATATATATATATATATATATATATATATATCCTAATCAACATAGAATTTTTAAAAAATCATGGATTATTATAACTTATAGGAACGTTCGACACTGATATTTACAAAACTGCTAATTTAAAAAGCTGTCAATTATGTTCAATGAGCGATACATTGGATCAGTGTTTCTTCCAGACTTTTTTCTCCGGGGGGCACTTGAAATTTTCGGGGGGGGGGGGCGGTAAACTTTCTTCGGGGGGCGGACACTGTTAAAAGTATATATTTTCTATATAAATTATATAAATTTCATTCCGATCGGGGGGGGGGGGGGCGGTAAAAAATTTTCGGGGGGGCTTCGCCCCCCTGAAGAGATGCCTGGAAGAAACTCTGCATTGGATACAAACATGTACCAAATATGTACTCATAAGTAGCAAGATTATATGTCGTCCCCCCCCCCTCCCCCATACACTACCACGGCACACACACACTAAAAACAACACAAAGTGGCGAGATCCATCCACTAGGTCATCAGTACTAAATATATGACTATTTACTTTAGGTCTGTAGAAGTTTCCGACCTCCGCCCCTCGATCTAGCTGGGTACTAGACGGTAGGACGATGTCCCGCTTCTGTTGGTGGGGGAAATAAAGCCTGGTGAGAGCCTACGGATTGATAAACGACCAACATGTAGTGGTTTAAACTAACTTTAAACCAACATCTTCGTGAGACTGATTCAGTCCACTTTTTGCCAGTTAGTTCGAGTTGACCTCCCTGGCTAATGGGAGTCAAACTCAGCCGGTATATCCGTGTCACGATAGTTATTGAACAGTCATTCACGAATTTATATTGGGCATGAGAAAGCTGGCCTGTTTCTGTCTAGGCCTAATTTAGACCTAAATGTCGGTTACCTTATTATAGGGATTAAATGGGTTTGCCGCAACATAACTGCCCATTTCGTTGGGTTAAAATAACACGGGTACTACCGTATTTGCTTTTAGGTCTACATTGTTTATGCAGCTTTATTTTTGTTATAAACAATACAGAGTATGATTCAATGAATGTGATGTTCACATAGCCCTATCTACCTCAACTCATACGCCGTCCGCACTTTTCCTCAATTTTCTAAAGTTTTCGTTCCATAAGTTGATGATTTCTAATATTCTTACGATAAATCTATCTTGACGCCAACGAAATTACAAGCTAATTAATTAGGGCTAACGGTTTGTGGCCTATTTTATTATTATAATTTTTTACATTAAAAGTTTCGAGTTTACAATAGGGGGTAGAACGCACGACTGCTGACCCAAAAGTCCTGAGCTCTAATCCCAGGTTCATATCCAAGAACACCAACCACAGATGGATACCTAGATCAATCTCAAATTTTAAAACTACTGAAGGAAGCTAGGCATAAATCTAGAACTGATCAGAATGTCTTATATGCTGAGAACAACTAACTATGTGCTCTATCTAATATTCCGTATGCTCACCAGGTCCTAATGGGCAACTAAGAAATTAATCTAACGAGTTTTAATTCAAATAATTAGATCTGGATATTCTGTACCTAAAAAAATTAATATCCAAAACCTTATTTCTAATGACACAAATGTAAAACATCTTCCATACATTTCTTGGTAGTGTAGTGGGTAAGCAAAAACGGCCAGACAGTTTTTCATTGATTCCTAAGGCTGGTCAATAATGTTGCTTGTGTGGATGCTTGCTAGTGAGACCTAATTCAGAATGTAGACCCTATGCTTAACATTTGTATTATTTTAATGTTTGTTACCACCTCACTGACGCCATCTGACTAAATTACTTTCAAGTGTGTGACCGCTATTTAAACTAAAGTGTGTGCTCGAATATTAAAGCATTGGCTTTTTTATAGTAAAAAAAATTAAAAACCCAACAATTTAGCTTTAAAGGGAAAGTTACTATGATTTAAAAAGGAAATTTGGGGGGCCCCTAAAAATCGGGGGCCCCTGGCTGCAGCCCTCTCAGCACCCCCCTTAATCCGCCACTGCCACCAGGCGCAGCCTGCCGCAGCCTGGTATTACGGGATATAGTAAAATACTCCCTGGGGGAGGGTGAGGTACACAGACATATAGTAAAATATTCACCCGCCTGGGGGAGCAGGATGGTGAGGGTTAAACATGTTATATAGTAAAATACTCCTCCACCTAGTGGTGGGGGATGTGGAGGTGGGTGAGCAGCCTGGTACAACGAGATATAGTAAAATACTCCCCCACCTGGGGGATGCGGAGGGTGAGGGTGGTTCGCCACAGGTGACCTTGTGACGTAATCTCCGGTGACCTTGTGACGTAATCTCCGGTGACCTTGTGACGTAATCAGTGACCTTGTCACGTAATTAGTGACCTTGTGACGTAATAATTTACCTAGTTACGTAATTTTAATGAGTTTTTTAATTAGTTTTAATGAATTTTTTAAATTTTAATTAATTTTTTTTTTCGTTGTACCAGGCTGCTCATATTTTACTATATAACATGTTTAACCCTCACCATCCTGCTCCCCCAGGCGGGGGAATATTTAACTATATGTCGGTGTACCTCACCCTCCCCCAGGGAGTATTTTACTATATCCCGTTGTACCAGGCTGCGCCTGGTGGTGGGAGTATTTTGCTATATGTCATTGTCCCGCCGCATCCCCCAGGCGGGGAGTATTTTTTCTAAATTTATGAGTTAAAAAATTACTATTGAAAGTGTTGGGAAATAATTTTCATTTTTCAAACTGATAGTAATGATTGTCGGCATGTTTATTAAACACAATTTAAAAAAAATATCATCTTTTACAAAAATTATAATTATGTCTGAAAATTATTTATATTTAGTCCTTTAGCACTTACTTCCCTTTGATAAATTAGGAAAACACAATCACTTCCCTTTATAAAACATTGCATTAGTGGAAAAGAATTTACTTTTTTTTTATTTTCTTTGTTTTGGTGTTGGGAAAAAAATAATTACATAATTAGCGAGATTCTATTCCAGGGGAGATCACTCCCGGTTTATTTTACAAAACAAACACCAAGGCAAAAATGCACGAAAAATTAAATTTAAAACTTAAATTCATTATTTATAGTCGGCTAATGGGCCTCCCCCCACCCCCATCCGCTGTTCGGTAGATCTTATTCTCAACCGTCACGTCATTACGTACCGTGTCATACCGTCACGTCATTACGTACCGTGTCATACCGTCACGTCATTACGTACCGTGTCATACCGTCACGTCATTACGTACCGTGTCATACCGTCACGTCATTACGTACCGTGTCATACCGTCACGTCATTACGTACCGTGTCATACCGTCACGTCATTACGTACCGTGTCATCATGTACCGTGTCACACCGTCACTTTATTACGTACCGTGTCATACCGTCACAATCTTTACATCCCCCTAAAGATTATAAAATCATTCTACAACACGCATACTCTAATACCCTCGCAATCCACTGGGATACCTTTCATAAGACGGGGATAGAGTGACAAAACCTTGGGGGAGGGGGGAGGAGTTCGTGTCACAAACTTTGAGGTGGAAAGTTACATACCTTGGGATGTAATGTTACAAATCTTGGGGGGTAGAGTCACAAAATTTGGGGGGGGGGGGGAGGGTAGAGTAACAAACCTTGGGGGGGGGGAGTAGATTGACAAACCTTGGGGGGTAGAGTCCAGTAGAATATCATCCCTCAAGAGACCAAAGACAGACATGAACATCTGGCGCATCAAAGAGTCTCCAATAAAATAGATGGTCATGTTTGTCAATAGTTGACAGATTTGTTGTCTGGACAACAGCGCCATCTGGTGAGGTCAGGTCAACTTTTGGTTAACTGTTAATGTGGATGTGTGGTTTATACTTAATTTCATAATCAGGGACCCCTGTATGACTGTCAGAGACCCCTGTATGACTGTCAGGGACCCTGTATGACTGTCCTGACACTTGTCAGGGATCCCTGTATGAATGTCAGGGACCCCTGTATGACTGACCTGACACTTGTCAGGGACCCCTGTATGACTGTCAGGGACCCTGTATGAATGACCTGACGGGTTGTCAGGGACCCCTGTATGACTGACCTGACACTTGGGGTTGTCAGGGACCCAGGTCGCTAGCTCAGCGTGGATCTGTTGCCGCATGTCGTAGCAGCGCGGACACCGACACTGCTCTACCGACTTGGCCACACAGCTCGTCTCCCAGCAACAGGGCGTGGAGCCGTTAGGGTTGCACACGGCTCTACTCCAGTCGGTGCCAGGGAAGTTCACGTCACCTACAGCAGATACAGGCGGGGATTTAGATTCAAAGAGATCTCTGTCACGTGGGACATCTGTCACGTGGGACATCTGTCACGTGGGGCATATGTCACGTTGGAATCACGTGGGACATCTGGCACGTGGTAGTCACGTGGGACATCTGTCACATGGGACATCTGTCACGTTGGAGTCACGTGGGACATTTGTCACGTGGGGTATCTGTCACGTGGGACATCTGTCACGTGGGACATCTGTCACGTGGGGCATCTGTCACGTGGGGTATCTGTCACGTGGGGCATCTGTCACGTGGGACATCTGTCACGTGGGACATCTGTCACGTTGGAGTCATGTGGGACATCTGTCACCTGGGACATGTCACGTGGTAGTCACGTGGGACATCTGTCACGTGGGACATCTGTCACGGGGGACATCTGTCACGTGGTAGTCACGTGGGACATCTGTCACGTGGGACATCTGTCACGTGGTAGTCACGTGGGACATCTGTCACGTGGTAATCACGTGGAACATCTGTCACGTGGGATCTCTGGTACGAAATTATTTTAGGGTTTCTCGAATTAATTTAGAGCTAAAATATTTTAAGCCCAAATAAGTTACCCATCGTAGCGACGTGGGGTGGGGATTGGGTTAATTTAGATACTCACCACATTTCTTGTCGTCTCGCTGTAAATCTGCTGGAAACTTGTGATACGCTCTGGCTCTTCTGAGGAAAGCTTCTATTTCTTTCAGCTGGTCCAGAGTAAAGTTGTTCTGTACCCAGTGACCTCGGGTCATTTCTTGGCTGACATTCGTACACGTAACTTGTGTCAGCGAGTCACGGTTAGACTGGTTAACTTGTTCCTGGAACTTGAGCGACCCTCCCAGGTAAGTCTGGTTAATTTGTTCCTGGAACTTGAGCGACCCTCCCAGGTAAGACTTGGGAAGTGGTTCCCGGAATTCTAGCGACCCTCCCCAAGGCAGGAACTGGACGATAAACCAGAGACAGAGCACTGCAAGTAGCACGCTCGCTGTCACCTGGCGACTCATTTGACTGGAACACAACACGTTTTATGTCACACCATGTGTGTACAATTTAAGTGTACCAGTGGCGGAACAAGAAAAAGGGGCCACCCACAAAAAAAAATAATTTTGGGGGCCCCCTATATATATATATAAATAAATAAATAAATCTAATACTACTAAAACTCAACTTTGTTTACATGTTTGAATATTCATTTGTTTGTCTGATTTCGTACTGTAAGTAAACTGCTTTATATGGGGGGCTGTAAAATAGTATGTAGGTAGAGAATAATTTTTTATTGCAGACAGACTGTTAATCACACATTTATTTAAAGACGTTAATTAATTTATTGATTTATTCATAGGTAGATTAACCACATTTGTTTTAAAGTTTTAGAACAATGGCTTAACTTTGACTGAATAGTGATGTTTGATAACTCATTTTTTTGTTTGTTTGTTTTTCTGATTTGTTATTGGGGAGAATCTTCATTATGTGTAGCGCTGTAAACTGGTATTTTGAGTGGTAAATATTGTTCCTTCTTAAACACACTGTTAATTACAAACTAATTTAAAGCCGTTAATTGATTTATTGATATATTCATGGGTAGATTAACCACAATTTATATAAAAGTTTAGAACTATGATTTTAGTAATAGTAAAAAGATAAATTTTCTTTTTACAACATTGTTTTCAATTATTTTTCCTAAGGTCTACATGTGAATGATAAGGTTGACTATCAGGACCTCGCGGGTCACAGGGCAGGTGAAGTAGAGTGCACCTGTTTGTTTGTCCTAAGCATATGAAGGGATAGTGTGGTCAGAGACATGCTCGGCTGGAATCGTTTTTTTTAGACGATAAAAACATGTTGTCTGAGACTTGGTGGGACACTGGGCAGGTGAAGTAGGGTTGAGTCAGTCACCTGTGACGTCAGCATATGAAGGGATAGTCCGAAATCGTTGTTTTCGGTGTTTTTAAATGATAAAAAACATGTTTGAAAGTGGGGTCTGTTTTTTTGTGACGATAAGTGACACTGCAGTAGCGTAGCGAGAGGGTGGGGGCGGGGGGGGGGGACATATGTCCCCGGGTGCCGACCTTAGGGGGCGCCAAAATGGGTTGGAAAAATAAATTGAAATGTTGAGGGGGGGGTGCAAATCAAAAGTTTGAGGGGGGGGGGTGCAAATCGAAATCTTGAGATGGGGGGTGGGGGTGGTGGTGCACATTGAAAGTTTGAGGGGGGTGCATATCAAATTCTTGCCTCGGGGGGGGGGGGGGGTTCAAATCGAAAAGTTTGTCCCCGGGCGCAGAAAAGGGTCTCTACGCCTCTGAGTGACAGACGTGATGTTTTTTGATGGATGACCCCCGAAACCCACAGTTATCCAACGGGTGACGGGTAGTCTAGTATATAAATAAATAAAATATATATATATATATATATATATATATATATATATATATATATATATATATATATATATATATATATATATATACTAGCCGTCCCGGCCAGGCCCTTCACTGGCATCTCTGAAAAACGTATCTGTAAAGGACCATAACTTGTGTGTTTAGTAATCAGCATTTATCCGGCATTGCCCACCCTAACCACAACCAACCAAAACACACCAAAAAAAAACGCAAACATAACACTAACACAAAACAAACACAAACACAATCACAAACACAAAGAAAACAAATGCAAAGAAAAAAAAGCAATCGAAAACACAATCGCAAAGAAAAAAAGCAATCGAAAACAAACCCAAACCCAAATTCAAACGCAAACACAACCACAAACGCAAACCCGAACTCAAACACAAAGAAAACTCAGTGTCCACAGTCTAGCCCGGGTCGCCAAATCGCACAATGACGACGTGCGGCCCGGGGCGCCAAATAGCATCCTGTCGGGGTGCCGGAGGACGCCCGGATTTGATTCACTTAAAGACTATAGTAACCTTTCTTATCCATAGTCTATCGCACTGTTTAAAACAAAATTATGCAGCATAGCGCTCACACGATAGCCAATGGCGCCAAATCGAACCGTGCAGGGGCGCCGGCGGACGCGCCTGTTTCAATTTAGTGAACAAAATAATAATACTTCAAGCTTATCCGTAAATGGAAAGAAATAAACATAGGATTTGTAGGACCTGGCTTATTAAATGTTATTGATTTTAAAAAAATAATTAGTAAACAGTATGTTCAGTGTATAGAATAAATAACAGGCAGTATTAAAAATACCAACGACATTGCACTTAATCAATCCCCGCTAATTATGTTATTTTTTTTTTCTTAACACCAAACTAAAGTAATAAAAAGTAAATTCTTTCTTTCCCCGATTTAATGGTTCTTTAAAGGGAAGTAACTGTGTTTTCCAAATCAAGGGACGTTATGAGAACTAAAGAACAAAATGCAAATACATTTCAGACACAATTTTAGAAATTTTATAAACGTTGATACACTTTTATTTTAATTTTATGTAATGTTCATAATTGAAAATTATTATTCTAAGTACATAAAATGAAAACTGTTTTTAAAGACTTTCAATAGTAATTTTTTAACTCATAATTTAGACAATGAGCACTATAATAATCTAACACTTAAATCCATTGAAGTATCCACAACAAACATTTTACAAACATTTTACATACAGAATTGAGCTTTATATATTAGACTAGCCGTCCCGGCCAGGCTCTGCTCTGGCTTCTGTGAAAAAACTTTCTGTTAAAGACCATTACCTGTGTGTTTAGTAATCATCATAAACCCGCATTGCCCACCCAAACCACAACCAACCAAAACAACAAAACGCAAACATAACGCTAACACAATTACAAATACAAACGAAAACAAAAACCTAACAACAAACCCAACCACAATCACAAACACCAATACAAACACAAAGAAAAAACAAACAAAAAAGCAAACGAAAACAAAAACCTAACAACAAACCCAACCACAACCACAAACACCAATACGAACACAAAGAAAAAAACAAACGAAAAAGCAAACGAAAACAAACCAAATCCAAACGCAAAACCAACCACAAACACAAACCCAAAGAAAAAAGCACAAACGAAAAAGCAAACGAAAACAAACCAAATCCAAACGCAAAACCAACCACAAACACAAATACAAACACAAACCCAAAGAAAAAAACACAAACGAAAACGAAAAAAGAAAGAACAAAAACGAACTAAATCAAAACGCAACCACTAACGCAAACCCAACCTAAACACAAAGAAAACACTAACGCGAAATAAACGCAAAGTGCTCACAGTCTAGCCCGGGGCAGAATCGCCTGTTTCAGCTGAATAATCGACTATAGTACCCCAAATTATTCATAGTCTTTTGCACTCACTTAAACGAACGTAGGTGCCAAACCAAACCAAATGAACAATTATAATACTCCAAGCTTATTCGTAAAATACCTACAACATTTGCACTTGATCAATCCCCGCTAATTATGTAATTATTTTTTTCCCAACACCAAAACAAAGTAATAAAAAGTAAATTCTTTTCCACTAATGCAATGTTTTATAAAGGGAAGTAATTGTGTTTTCCTAATTTATCAAAGGGAAGTAAATGCTAAAGGACTAAATATAAAAAAAATTCAGACATAATTAGAATTTTTGTTATTTTTTTAAAATTATGTTTAATGAACATACCGACAATTATTACTATCAGTTTGAAAAATGAAAATTATTTCCCAACACTTTCATGAGTAATTTTTTAACTCATAAATTTAGACTATGTGCACGATAACAGTCTAACACTTAAATACATCGAAGTATGTCAACGACAAACAAACAAACTTATTTTTACATACAGAATTGAGCTTTATATATTAGATATATATTTATATTAACAAAATAAGAAAATACAAACATAGAACACTCATTTCGGGCTTGTTCGAGTTAA